CCCCCCCCCCCCCCCCCCCTTCGTCATACTTCCTCCTTAATAAGACCATGTCAATACTCGTATTCGTGATACGATGCGTAAGTGCATATCCTTTAGAAATAAAGAGAGGTAGATACAGACACGTCCCTATAAACTATAGAATATACCAGCACTGCGATATACATCACCATTACGTCTTAGATACAATATAACGTAAAAATGTAAAAAATGTGAAATGAAAAATGTAAAATAAAGAACCAGATACGATCATGTTTTATTGATCAAGTATGTGGGTTATAGATAACGTAAAAATGTAAAAATGTAAAATTTAACATGTAAAATGCAAAACCGAAAATGTAAAGTGTAAAAATGTAGAAATGTAGAAATGTAAAAATGTAAAATGTAAAATGTAAAATGTAAAAATGTAAAATGTGAAGATGTAAAATGTGAAAATGTAAAATGTAAAAATGTAAAAATGTAAAAATGTAAAATATGAAAATGTAAAATGTGCAAATGTAAAATGTGAAAATGTAAAATGTAAAATGTAAAATGTAAAATGTAAAATAGTAAAATGTAAAAATACACTTTGCACCCAACGATAATGGCGGAATGGCCCAAAAAGTCAAATAGCCTTTAAAACCGTAGTCAAAATAGCCCCTGTTTTGGTCAAAATGACACCAAAAATTACTACATGCGTATAAGATTTCTACTAAATCTCAAAATGCCCCCTTCCCTAAAAAACACAACAAAATTGGTCCAGTTTATAAGACTAACTTGATGATTTGTGAAACACATCCATGGTAAAATATGTGCACCAACAAGCATCTTCTACTGGCAGCAAATAAAACAAGACATTTTTCAATCTGTTTAAAATGCAGATCTGGTTGTTTCGTTTTATATCTTTTTCTGTGGGTTTCTGCAATTATCCTCCATGATCTAACGACATTCTTTTTAAAGCATATTCTGTTGAATTTGACTCAGTAATATCAACAATCATTGTATTACAATAATTCCACCAAATAAATTTTAAAAAAAATAATATAAGAGAGCTTTGATTTTGTTCAGTTCCCTATGTGTTAAAGAAAGTTGGTTATAGTACTTGACATTGTAAAGATGTGTCAATAAACTTACCAATCAATTTGTACAGGTACTGTGTTAATTGTATTAAGAAAAAATTAAGAAAAAAAAACGTAATCAATCTTACCAAGTTAATATGTTAGATATTTTTTAGTCAAAACCTTCTTGGGAATTAATTCTTGAAATATTGTCTTTACTCGCTGTTTTAGGTCAATGTTAAACACCTAAAATTCCAATTCCGTATTATCCTCTGGAGTTACAATAAATTTCACAATACTTTGAAATGAGCTAGATTAACTGATGTTGCAAATAGTTTATAACATTGAATTTTATTAACAGCTGTATGCGTTTAAATTTAATGAGAATTTCACACTTTATTATCTACAATACGGTACCAAAAAAACCTGATACATACAAGCTCTTGGATCTTAATATTTTACGAAACTACATTTCTATTCGTTGTCGTTCACCACTCCAAAATTCGACTGTATTAGTATGTAATATGTATATTTTGGTATACATCTGCTTTTTGGGATGCAGCTCCGTTTTTGGGATACGATTCCGCCTTTTTGGATACACCTCCGATTTTTGGGATACACCTCCGCTTTTTGGGATAAAAATCCGCCTTTTGGGATGCACCTCCACTTTTTGGGATAAAAATCCGCCTTTTGGGATGCACCTCCATTTTTTCGGATAAAACTCCACCATATGGGATACAACTGCGCTTTTTAGGATACACCTCCGCATTTTGGGAGAAACAGAGAAACAGTGAATTTATAGTGTAAAATTATATTGAACTGTATGCACCAAATGAAATTAAGCCTGATTTTTAATTCTATTCTGCATGAATAGCATTAACTTTTAATCCAATTCTTTATTTTGTATGCACCACATAGAATTACCTTAAATGTAGGCTATTTAAAAATTAGCTAATTTAATGCTAAACTTAAACTTAATTCCTTTTGTGGCTCTTCGATGTTTCAAAATGGACGATTATTTCGACGATTTAGATGAACTTGGTGAAACCAACCGTGTTATTCCCATCAATAGACATGTCAGGGATCGCCTGGACCCCTTCATATGGTTTTCGGAATTTAAAGCAAGGTTTAGATTGAACAAGAAATCGGTGTTGAATATCACTAATAGTTTGCAAAAATGAAACATGACATATCAAATTTATAATGACGTTCATTTGCTCCTTCGAAAAATAGAAGGAATTAAAGATATCGTTTGGTCTTACTCTTGTTGATAATTGTCATAAAAGCTGTAAGGCACCAGATGAGAGTCTATAGAGTTTCGGACTACAAGACATGGACTGAAAATACAGGCAATTGCTGGCTACTTATTTCTGAAATAAAAATAAACACTTCCTTACATTTTTCAAACAGTTTGATTTCTCTTAAAATTACAGTGTTTGTCTCACGTGTCCATAATTAATTCATAATTAGCTAAATTAGAAGATTACCTGCAGAATTCCAATGAGTGACCGATCAAGAAAGGTCAAAAAGTCTTTTTTTGTTTATCCAGACTGTACATACATGGACATTTGTGATTGGTTAAAATTCCTAATGTATATATTTATCGCTGTACCATGTAAGGTATCAAATCATTAAAGTTTTCCGGATCAATCAGCCCAATCCAGCTATATTTTTTTTTATAATATTGCGGTGATGGGGACCGAGATTTTCGAGATGGTCGTCAAAATGGTGGAACGATCTCACTTGCATCACCTACTCATTCTGAATGCGAAATTCTCAGACAGAATCAACTGAAAGCGAAGACTCGAACACTTCGTGATCAACATAATTAACACTTTTATACAACTTCCTCGACCATAGAAACTGAAAATTCTTGAGTTACAACAAGCATGTCCATGCCATATTTCTGACAGGCACTAATTGTTATCGCACTGTATCCTAGAAGATAGATCGATACGATCATAACACTTCATATTCGTATCCACCACCATATTGCCCGTGTCAGTGACATAGAAAAAAATTTGCAATTAAATTGATATCAGGAAAAAATTTGAATATTACGCACGCAAGCGTAAAACATTTACATATTTCTTTTTAACTAATTAGTGTATAATATACACATCTTTTCAAAGGTTTTCTAGCCTTTTTATGTGTCTCGGGGACACCTTTGACATCTATTTTGATCATTCCAATTATTCTTCCGATGTGGTTCCAGCAATTCCAGAAAGAGTTAATCGGAAATGACGCAGCTCCCACAAATGAATTCGTAACCAACCAACCTACCGCCATTCCACAATAACATGATAATATATGTTATCCCCCCTTACAAGATGGCTTCATTTCTAACTAACAATCTACGACTCATTTTGCTTCACCTTTGCCTTATAAAACTTTTTACTACGTCTTATATTCTTTAGTTTTAACGGAATGAACAAGTTGTATATTATTTGTGCAAATCGGAGAACTAAATATCCTTATTTATGATAAAGTGACCGGTTTCGAATACAGTGAGGCGACCATTTAGTAAATCAAGTAATAATAGTATTTCTAATCTTGATTTGGAATTTGGAATCTGGGATGTCCCAAATAGAAGTCAAAGGTGTCCCCGATACACATGAAGAGGCTAGAAAACCTTTATAATCCCTTTAATTTGTTTCATTTCATTTTCCAAAATCAAAATGCATCATAAAAATTGATATGTCAGCCGCTGTACAAGGAACAAGGTTAATGTCTTTGAAATATTTGGAGATATCTTGTAATAATTTGCCTTTGGTTTAAAGCTGAATTTAAAGGGATATTAAAATAGTTTTCTAAAAAATGTATGTGTATCGGGAACAATAGCACCAATATTCACCATTCCAATTTTCATCCAGACGTCTGTGGTTCTTGTACTTTCACTAAGGATGAATGTTTGATGACGTCACAAATCGCAAAATATGCTTTATGACTAAGGACTTTGCGATAAGTGACCATTAGTGACGTCATAAAACGCTTAGTTTTATTAGTTTATTGAAAAACAGATGTCTGACTGAATATTGGGAATACACATGCAAAATTTATAAAAGCTCTTTACAATCCCTTTAAATCAAGATATCTGTAACTGCTGTCAAACAACCAGTTATGTCCCCTTGTTGTATAAACTTAGGGTCATTTAGGAGGCACTGATTTTGGTAATAAAGCAAGACTAACAGAGTCTGCGCATTAGGCTTAATTTGGCACAAGAAAACAAGTATGGATGAGCATGGTCTAAATTTCAATAAAAAGAATTGTTTTTGTTAAAAGCTCCATTAATCGGGGAAAAGGTAATATATTTGGTCCTTTTATTTGTATAATATGTTATGTTCGCACCTTCAGTTAATCTATTGCATATCTTATACATGTTATATTGTCATATTATTAATTACAGTCGAGTAACCTAATTTCGTGGAAACCTATTATTCGTGGATTTCCGGAAAGGATTAATAATTTACATGCGCGACCTCCGCATTAGTTTGTTTTAATAAACATGGGTTTTCTGTACAATATCAGCTAGTAGAATGAATCCAGTAGTTTCAAGCAAGGTTAAATGTATTAATGTATACTTTGACAAATACAAAATGGCGGATTTCAGTTATTACCAAACGTCACTATTTTTTATCAGCCGAATTTCCTTATAATCCCTAGCCGTAATCGGAATTCCAAGTGTCGTCTGCTAGAATGTAGTCCAACGAATGAAGTCACGTGATCAACTAGCGGATTCCGTGTCAGCAGAAAATTTCTATGGAGCACAAAGTGGACCATATTCAGTGACTTTTATCAATAAATCACGCTACGTATCTTATTTTGTCAGTCACTATTTTTTTTTTTAAAATCGTGGTTCTTTGAAGGAATTGTCACTAGTTATAATGAATTGATATTAAAGATAAATACTAAGAGAAGTTAATTATATCACCCGGTATCCATACAACGTGTTTTTCTCGACTTATTTATAGTTCAAACATTGTACACGAAAATAGATGACGCATTCTGACGCCGTTGCCGAGTTGGTTGCTCATGAAATATGGGTCAAAGTGGATTCATAAAGAAAATCGAAATAAACCAATTTTAATTATTTTGTAGAATATCTGAGGAAACATCTAAGACATAAAAATTTTTTTTGTTTTTTTAATTTTGACGAAATTCGGTGTTGAATCCTTATATCCACGAAAATAGGTTACACCACTGTAATAACATTTTGCAAGAAATTTGGAATAATCCGAACCTGTCCAACCCTAGATTGGCATTCATGTGGCCACCTGTCCTCGCCAATTTTTCCGCATTTATAGATTTATAGAATGTAGAGTAAATTCAGTGTCTCTTTACCAAGCTAAAGACTTATAAGTGTTTTTTATTCAATATTTTTCAGTTTTTACGAGTTTGATTGAGTATTATGTAAAGATTGAAGCCCAATAATTTGATAACTGGCTGATTAACAAAGAGACTCCGTAAACTCCGTCATTTACGAACCCCGAACAGCCCAGCTGTTACAATATCCACTTAACTTGCCAGAGTATTACTTCGCCAGCAATAATCAAACAGAAAAAAAAAACAAACAAAAATACAGTTTAAAAAAAAAAAACAATTTAATGAATACATGATTTTTTTAAAGGTAATATACACGACTTTATAACTGAACTATGTTGTTGATAGTATGATTTAATCTTCTTCACTTTCCTCACTGTCATACCATGGCGAAAGGTTTAACTTATCATACTCCGAACATGGTTTGACTCGGTTACTGAAAGGCACGGACAAATATAATGTTACTAAATTTGTATGGTACGAAATACTGCATGTTCAAGTTCCAACGACATGATTCCAATCAAGCAATTGACCAGTTGCCTCTTGTTCGGTAAGGCATCCTCTTTTAGTTGCTTAAAGAGTCAGTAAGCACAATTTTCAGTATAAACAATGTCGTAAATTATACCTGAAAATATTTTTAAAATAAGTTATATTATAACTGTATGTATATCAACATGTATGTATATCAACATGTATGTATATCAACATGATCAATCTGAATTTAATTTAAAAGAGTTAATTAAAAATGGAGTGCACTAATTGTTAATTAAGTTGATTCAACCAGTTTTGATTTTGGGTCTCATAAAGGCTCAATTTGTTTACTCGAATACGTATAAGGATAATTATTAGGCGTTTATTTCTTAAATCCGCACAATAGTTTTCGAACAACTTTAAAAAATAGTTTTGACAAAAACAAATGTAACGGCAGGATATTTTTAGTTCAAACTTTCAGATAAGATCAGGGAGATATTTTTTTAGATTTTGGTGTATTTTTCTTACATTTGAGCAAATTTCCAACTTACGAAAAAACAAAGAGTGGCCTTTCAAGTAAGTGCTTTTAAAGGCTTTTTTAAGCTTTGATAAAAGAAACACATCTAAGATAGGATGATTTTCTTACTTTGAGTCATTGGGTAAGCTGAAGGGATCTGGTTGAACTTCATTAAAATTTAGTGTATCGCATAAAATCTTCGCGAAGCTAAACCTTTTCAGGGCTAGTCGTTGACCTACAAAAAAGAATGAAACTAATAACTGAAGTAAACGTAAAATCATGCAATAACGATGATGCCTCTTTAGGTTATTTAAAGGGGCAGTATAGAGCCATTTTAACCAATCATACTTTAGTCTCAGAAACGGGAATTAAATAATATTCACAGCTCCTCCGAAATTTGAGCCTTTAAATTCACGTGTGTCCAGACTTGTCCGGGTTTGAAAGTTAAAAATTCGAGTCACTACCATTTCGAAAAGACGTCTATAGAATAGGAAAGTAGGAAAGTTAATTCCTAGTTTGAGATATTTTTAAAAAGAATTGTGTGATTTTCGTACATTTCTCGTACTCGGAGACTATTTAATTCATTCTAGACTGAAATGAACCTCCCAAAATGGACACAGTTTATGGTATCTGTTTAATTGTATTAGATATATATAACTCACAGGATGAGAAGCCTCGACGTTTGTCCCTTGTTTCATGCCAGAACGCATCACCAAATTTTAAACATCTGAACTGTTCTCCAAGAATACAGTTGAATGTTTCACCAAGCAAAGAATTTTTCAAGTTAGGTTCTGACATTCCTCCGGGGAATAATTCTATATCGTCCACATGACTGCAACGAAAAATATACATAAGCCTAATATTTACACAATCATATCCTACCCTTTTAAGGTAAATTAGACAATTTAAACCGACGAAGCATTGATACACACAAATTGGCAAACCACTAGCAATTGCAAATCCGACCACTACGATTTGTAGTCCTCGGTAAGAGGTCAGTGTGACGTAATCCAGTAAAATTCTGTCTGCTCGACTGGCCCCAGAAAAGTGACAACTTAGGGAAGATTGTGTTGCAAATTTAACTTGAAATGGCACATAATCCAGACTTTGGTTCCTGATAATAAACAAATATCATTTGGCAAATACAAGTTTCGAGACAATGTTCTTACTCGTAAATTTTAGCCAACTCGACTCCTGCATTACCAACTTCTTTGTCATAAAATGAAGTTAATTTTCTTAGCCCACAATATTCTCTCATCTGGTTGTAGGTGGCAATAGCATGATCTCGTCCACGATTGATATTAAATGACACCAAATCAAAAGAACCATTTTTCGTTTCAAACAAATGATCTGTGATTTCCTCGGTAATAAACCGATCTCTAGCTAAAGCAGGTTGGTTAATAACTCCTTCCATCAGAAGAGTTAAGTTTTCAAAAACCGTTTTTGGGTTGTTAAACAAATTCCTAGACAGTATTTTTTCATCGCCATATTTCACAAAATCTGGAATCAAGGAATGGCCCATTCGGTAGGCGGCTGTAGCAAACTCGGAAGCTATACGAGCATTCACATTTATATCGTATTTATGTTCACCTCGTCTTAATCCATTCTTTTTTAATGTTTTTGGACTCAAAATATAAGGCAGCCAGTCAAAATATGTAGTTTTCTGAAATTAAGAAGTTGGCCATCCTTAAAGGGATTGTAAATAGGTTTTCTAATTTGTTTTATGTGTATTGCATCAATTTGCACCATTCCATTTTTCAATCAGACGTCTGTGGTTCAAGCAATTCCACCAAAACCAAGTGAAGAAGAACCTTTGGTGAAATTTTGCTATTAGTGACGCCATCAAACACTTAATGTAAGTGGAACTGTAGGAACCACAAGGAGAAAATTGATGCTATCAGTGTCCCAGATATACATAAAAATTATTAATCCTCTTAAAAAGATCAGTAGTTATTGTTTGCAACGTCCCTAGACCTAATGTACTTGTCGTAAAATGAAGTTTCGCCTGAATTTTCTAGTTCATACCAATGTAACCAAACGAAACCGTTGCAATGTACTATGTTTGTGACCATACAATTTTGACATTTATGAAGCAGTGGCGCTGCCAGTGGTGGTACAGAGGGACCAAAAAATATCTGTCAAGTAATAGCTTGACATTGTGTAGATTTACATCATCATGATTACTAGTCCGAAACATCTGCCTCTATTCCAGTCTCTGATGAATATTTTGACAGTTGTCGGCTGGAGTAGAGTCAGAAAAAATATACCCTGATAATTGGGATTTGTCACACTTCAGAAGATCCGTTTTCTCTGACATAATATTAAATTACCTTTTAGATGATTGTAAATTAGTGTTGGGCATCACCGTAACTCTTGTTTTTTTTAGTATTACGTGACCTTTGAACTTTTGGCTGCGCACGTATTTTTAAATGGCGAATGCGAGATCAGTTTCGCTAAAAAACACTTTGGTGGAACGGAATTCGCGTCATAAATGGTGTAGGTAGAAAATGACTGAACTACAAAAATATTCATTTTTCAAAATGGGTTTTGAAGATCCGAGTTATCTTAATAGGGTTAAAACCTCCGCACCTGCGGAGAAGCAGAAAGTTTCCATTTTACAGACTAGTTTTTCTATCTCTACACCAGCCAGATGTCTGTCCAAATAGCTATCAAAGGCTGGAATAGAGACATTTGTTCGGTCTACATGATTACCTGTAATATAGCTCCAATGATTTTCCTTGTTTCTTGAAACAGTCGATTACCGCCCCAATTGGTATTTTCGTCCAATTCTGCAACTATTATGTTATGAAGACGGACAAATATAGTATGAAGACCTGTTAATGGTGGATATGCGTGAGCTCGTTCATCACCTCATAAATAAAAACAAGTAAAATCAGTTATTTTGAAAACCTTATTAGAATCCCTTTTAACAGTTTGAAATAAAAAATAGAGCCTGGCAAAATCCCCTGTTGCACCCTGCGTTACTCGTCTTCGTTTGCTCACATGGTGCATTTCATTTCATTTTTTGAATCTCTTAAAAGACATACTAACTCTTAGAATGAACATAAAATTCAACTTCCCATTTAACTTGACCAAAATGAAAATTTAATATTCATCGGTGGACTTAAATTCTTTGTACAATACATTAAATCCATAAACATTATGTATATACGTTTACAAACATTTTTCAATAATTACGTTTTAAGGATAATTTTTATTCTGGATTAATCAGATAATAGTTGAATTCTGTTGTATAGTTATGGCACTGGGTAGGTACAAAGGAGAGTATATTATACTCTTATTGACCAAGTTTGAAAATCTAAATTTTATGTTCATTCTGTAAGCAAGTGTCTTTTGTGGTATCAATTATGGATAAATGAATTTGGGGGGTTTTGGGATGCTTTTTTTAATTTCTTCCACACTTACCAGTTGCAAAACAATGTGGGACACTAGGTCCAAGAATGCAATCTTGATCACGACCAATGGGCAGCAAATTACCAGCGGATGTTGCCATTCTTCCTGCAAGAGTAACGAAATTCTCCGTGTAAGTCTTAAAATCATCTAGCCATTCAACAAGCAGTATTAACCGACAAGCCACAAGTATAACAAAAATACGCAGAATATTTAATATTGCCATGATGAAAATGAATATTCCGTTTTCTTGAATTGAAATAAAATAGACGTTACACACTATTCCAGTTGTTCTCGTGCAGTGACGTATTTATGAGGTAATTTTTGGGCCATGCAAAATGAATTTTTTTTTCTACTTTCACCTCCAAAATTGCGTTAGATGTACTCTACCCGATCTCCAACCCCCCCCCCCCCCCACCCCCCCACACCCCCACACCCCCTGTCAATCAAATCCTCACTAAACAAACAACTGTTCGATTTCATGGCTAGTTTGTGATATTAACCATACCAAAATTCCTTTGACGATGCTCTATCTATACCTATCACTTTTTGGAATTATAACTTAAAATGAATAAGAATTATTACCATTTTCTGCTCGCAATTTCTTAGTGTGTTCTTCATTAGTTCCGTAAACATTTGACGCATCAATATATGAAGTTAGAAGGTTCTGTTGTTCTCTGGGGTTCGAGGAATCTGTTAAAAAATAAATTGTCACTTGATTACTGCGCTTATACAATTCGGAAAATTCTCGGCAGTTTTGGTCCTTGTACAATGCTATTCCGTGGAAGTATAACATATCTTGGTATTTGTTAGCCATTCTTTATCGGAATAATGTCCAAATTGTCACGTGATCGCATGATTCGCATAAAAAGAGCAGGCTAATGCCGCTGTCCTGGCAAAATTTCACTTGATGCACCCTGCATGGCGTTACCCATCTTCGTTAGTTCAAATACAAGTGTTTATGAACAAAGACAATAAAAGTTTCGAATTTAGAATAAAGATTTTGAGGCTATGAACTATAGTTCAGGTCGGAAAATGACTACCATTTGAGAAGTACGCGACGTTCCGCCTAAAGATTGGCTGGTGTAGGCCTTAGATAATGCTATATATACTTACTTAAATAGCTGATGTTCTGTATGGCACGTGATCTGACCATTTCAATACAATTTATATTGAAATATGGGTCATCTTTAGGAATTATTATCGGAAAGCATTCACCGTTACTGAAAATAGTGGAGAATTTTTTTACAGTCAAACTTGTATTAAGTGGCACACAAATGCATTAAATTTTACCAACAATAAGAGCATTACAGATGTTCAACATTAAAATAATGTTTAAGGCCAGTTTGTGTTACACATTTTAATTTTTATAGCTTCTTTTCCTAGTAGGTATAGACACTTTGTATTAAATGTGAAACTCAACTACTACTCAATAATGGCATATTCAGCATATCTTCAATCAAATAGAATTTAAAAGCTTGTTGGATGATTAAAATATTAGAAAATTAAAACTTGAATTCACAATGGGTCTCGGTTTATTGCCTCATCATAACAACTAGACGCCTTTTCCATGTCATCTAATCTGCATCACTGACAGGGGGTAACTGAGTTGGTAAACCTATTTACTCAACCTATGCTGAGATTAAATACCGGACTTCGGATTAGTGAGCAAGCTACTGAGTCACCGCGCAGCTCCCAGTAATTAAGAATGGGTTCACTTACCAAGTTGCTATGTCTGGATGTGGTAGTCCTCTTTGTACATCGACATGGTTACAGCAGCCTCTATTTACATGAGCTGTAATTATTCTATATATTCAGTTTGTTATTTAAATGAAAACTTTGTACTTTTTGTACTAATAATGTCCCGTTTACACCAAATGAAACTGAGAAATTAAATTCCATTCTGCGCCATTATTGGAGATTGATTTGGGTCTTGAATGTATGTGTAAATAGTCCGCATAATCTTTTAAAAATACCCCAAACTAGAAATTTCATTTTCTATTTCTATATAAATTATGTCTTTTCGTTAGGTGGGGGAGGGGGGTGTCAAAAATGACGAGTCGTCATTTTAACTTTAAGCTCCCAGTCCATGACTTTTTTTGATTGTACGAATTACTTACGTTGATTAATGGCAGCACCCGTCATATCATGATCCATGAATTCACCCCACTGCATCAACATTACCGTGTTTTCGGCATTAACTGATAGAGCTGGATGAATAGCTTTACTGACTTCTCTAGCTGTGGGAAGTAGACCACAATTTACACCCAGTGTCTTTGGTGTACACACCCCTTAAATAGGAAAAGAAAGCGGGCTACCCGAATCAATAAATAAGGTCCGAAATCCAATATAAAGAGTATGACGATACTATATCAACAATGAACAATATGTGTAGTTTTGAGCAGTAATGGCAGGTGTGGTTCCAGGTAGGATCGACTTAGTAGTTTTCTATAATAAAAAGGAACCGTAACAAATATACTCACCATCCCCATATTGCGCTGGCATAAGACGTTGAAAGCTTCCCAATGACTGACCCATTGAGGGATCCCTGACATTGTTGCACGAGCCGTCGGCTGTTCTGTATAATCTCTTTCCTTGGTTGCATCGTCGACAACTTGTTCTTAATGTGACTTCATCACTATAAAATTAAAGGTATACTATTTCTAAGGATTACCGAATTGCATTCTTTAATTAAAATATAAATTTATAAATGAAAAATTAATATATTAAAATTAAATTTTTCGCGCAGCTCTGACTGTAATCGTGAGTGAATTGCAATTTTTCGGTTGTGACCTTATTTACTACTTGATAGCTTTGACGGTGCCTTCTACATTTCTTTCGGCCATGGTTATTCTCTTGGATAACTAATGGCGATCTCTCGTTTCCAGTGGAATATGGGACAAATCGATCAAGAGACGAATGATCCTATGACATGTTAAGAAATCTAGAGCGATATGAGATTTTTTGTGTATCGCAATATAGACAATATTTTATCACGATATGTTTAAATATCGCGATATAGAAGTTTCCGGAAATAAACTCTTTGTAATAATATAAAGAATCTCGTTTATTTTTTCTGCTTAAAAGTATTTGAAAACTGGCGCATGAGGCCCATGATCTAAGATACATTGTCAAATTTTGATGTTGACAGGGCTAAGTAAGTCAAGCAATTTGTCAATCAGACACATTTATGTTTATGTCTATCAAAACCAAAGGCAGCTAGTGTTGCATTCCCGTTGTATTTTATATAATGCACAATGTGATAGCAATCCCTTATCAAACTCTAGAGATTCAAATGTATGTAATATCCCAATGTCATAGACAGTAATTGTCTAATGCCAAACCTTTAAGGAGACATGTTACATATTTTATAAATTTTTTTAATTAAAAATTCAAATCTCAACTTTAATATAAAATTTTGAAATTGTATTACCAAATTAAAATTTTGAAATTGTATATTAAAAATCAAAATTTTTAAAATTTGAAATTCGAAATTCAATTTTCAAAATTACTTATTAAAACTTTTCAGTGCATTTCCAGATTGACATTTTCAAATTGCCAGAAAATGAAATATAAGCATTTGAGCAAAATAGTTCAAAAATTTATTCTTACCTCAGTGAATCAAGAAGATAAGTTGGAATGTCACTTTCTCTTCGTGTATATTTATGGTTCATTCCAGAGAGTTGGGCTGCACACATACTCGACGTCACAAGTGATGCTGATTTACCTTGAATTATACAAACAGATACTATTACTATTTAGTAGTAAACTTCACCAACTTTTTGCTTTAAGGAATACACAAGTGAAATGATGTTCCTTAAATCCTTAAAGACCCCTCGACAATTTGGAAATCAAAAAATAGTAAGCTCATGTGGCTCTCCTGGCAAAATTTTCCCGACTTCATAAGCCCATTTAAGCGCAGAAGAGTAGGGTGTAAAACTCCATTAATTTGATTTCTTTTGTTCATTACGATCTTAAGACACCTCAACCTCGATCTTTTGGTAAAAAATTTGTAAAAGTCAGAAGTACAAAAATTATTGTCACTAAAAAAAATTCAAGCGCTGAGTTTTCAGTGAGACCATAGTAATACAGTATTATGGTGCAGGAAGAGTAAAAAATATAACTTACAATTGTTTGCTGCTGCACCGCGACAAACTGTGGCAAAGACCAAGAGAATAAACTGTAGTTTCATTTTTCCTCGAATCGTACTGTATTATCAAATTCTGATAATGAAACCTGTCATCGTGATAAGTCTGAATTAAAAGTCAATTTGATCGGGCTTTTATATCCTTCATCTTCACGGCAAAAAATTAGACCGAAACACCTGCCTCTATACCTCTGATAGGTATTTTGAAAATGTGTAGACTAAGCTCTGTTTTATGGTTACTATTCCGCACTTTTGAAGGTTTGTGTGTGTGATGAGGAGGGGGGTGTGGTTTAAATCGTTGAATCGGATCAGCCAATGCAAGATATATTCGGAAAGAGGGATATTTTGTAGTTCAGTCAAACCATCATAATACCTTTACCCCATTTATCTCACGACTCTCACGAAGTTTTTTTTAATGAAACTGATCTCACGTCAGCCATTTAAAACAAAGGTTAAAAGGTCACATAGTCACGTGTTATTAACAAAACCAAGGTAAAGATGATACCAAACATTAATTTACAGTCATCGTAAATGTTATTTAACATTATGTTAGAAATAACACATCTTTGGAGGTGTAGAAAATACCCATCAAACAGGGCCAAGTTTTTCTGACTCTTTTCCAGTCGATAACTGTCAAAATATCTATCAGAGGCTGGAATAGGGGCAGATGTTTCGGACTAGGTAAAAGTGTAATAAGGTAAGGACCTCGAGGCACTGATACAATAATGATAAACATCGTAAGTTTAAGGGCTAGATCGGTTTTTTCAATGAGTTTTTGTGGTCTTGATCGTGAAATACATCATGCCACACGTAGAAGAAGATGGGATAGAAAACTTTGTTTGGTACGATGGCTGTTTTCTGTTGGTTTACGAGCCGATCGAACAGAATCTTCAGTTGAATTTTTCCCAAACATCATAAAACGTTGTTACAATTTAAGAAACAGATATTAAAGAAGAGCATGGGATGTGTAGCAATTTGGTCAGATCATGAATGGTAAGTAAAGCTAACTGCAGATTAAAAAAACCAAGCAAAACACCCAGGTTCCTATTTTAATCAGATTGTAGGAGCTACCGAGAGGGCCGAGTACAGACCCCAGAGGTATACCATAACGTAATTCAATTTTGACATACCGTTCGTTGACAAAGATAGGGCTCAAACCATTTCAGAGCAGAACCATTTATAGCAAATCTTTACATTTGGAAATTTTATTTTGCACATTTATGAAATGAGAGAAAAAAATCAGTTCAAAGAGAAGCTAAATTGGCTAACAAAATAAATCAGATGAATAAAGAAGCTAAAACCGATATCTACGGTGGCTCAGTTCCGATATATTTCATTTTTTATTTTGAATTAAAAACCTAGCTGAAAATTCCTGTAATTTTGGAAAAAATCTTTAATTTAGTTCGGTGGTAATTCTTGTAATTTTGAATTAAAAACTTTAATTTTCACCTGGGTGAAAATAATTTTTATACGCCCACATTAAATGGGGGGCGTATATTGCCGTCACTGATTTACAGATAGGATGAGACTTGTTAGGCAAAGATTGATATAGATCTTAGATCACTTGTGCTGATTTTCTCGTGGTGATTCTTTGTTGATATTTCTGATTTAAAGAGCTCAAAAACTAATAAGAAGTACAGTTATTCTGATGGCTCATCCTAGAAAACCATTTCATAAAACTGTACAGTTCAGCAGTCATAGATGGAAATTCACTTGGTTTTATTCACACAAGCTCATAACTGTATTAAAATTGATGGTTTAAAAGGGCTCAACAACAAATAAGAAAAACAGAATATAGTACAGCTATAATGGTGTCTGATCATAGCAAACCATTTCGTAACATGTAAAGTTTAATTGGCTTAGATAAAGTTCAGTAAACCAGAATAGAATTAGATGTTTTATTGATAGATGTAAATCAGGGCTCACACAAACTAGGACCATATAAATATTCATGATTACGAGTCTGACACCTGATAATAATGAAGTTCATCAGTTCTAGTGGATGGTTATAGAACTTATTAAAAAGTTACCCTTTTTATACGCCCACATGAAATGGGGGGCGTATATTGCCGTGACCGCTTTCCGTCGGTCCGTCCACAATTGCACTCTACAAGGCACAATTTTGGCTGATTTCGACGAAACTTGGTATGGTTGTTTGTAATCACCCAAGGATGAACCCTATTGAAAATCAGACGAATCGAAAAATTAGTATGAGTTATTGCCCTTTGGTTCTTGAAACGCTCGTAAACACTCTAAAAGGTGCAATTCATGACGGATTTTTATGAAACTTGGTGTGAGTGTTTGTAATCACCCAAGGATAAACCCTATCGAAAATCAGAAAAATTGATAAATATTTAGTATGAGTTATTGCCCTTGTTCTTGAAAACGCGTTCAAATTTTAGCTTGTAAACACTCTAGAAGGGACAATTCTTGATGGATTTTAACGAAATTTGGCTTGAGTGTTTGTTATCACCCATGGGTAAAGCCTATTGAAAATGAATGTAGGTAATTAGGTCACAGGTAAATCGGTCACCGGAAATTTGGTCACAGTAAACGGTCACACTGTAATTTGGTCACAGTAATAAGGTCACACGGTAATTTGGTCACAGTAAAAAGGTCACACGGTACTTTGGTCACAGTAAAAAAAGTCACTCGGTAATTTGGTCACAGTAATACGGTCACATGGTAATTTGGTCACAGTAGTAAGGTCACACGGTAATTCGGTCACAGTGAAAGGGTCACACGGTAATTTGGTCACAGTAAAAAGGTCACATGGTATTTTGGTCACAGTAAAAAGGTCACATGGTAATTTGGTCACAGTAAAAAGTCACACGGTAATTTGGTCACAGTAATACTGTCACATAGTAATTTGGTCACAGTAAAATTACCCATTTTCAGTGGTGTTGGTCATCTTATTCACATCAACCGCTTGTAGTTGATAACTAGATTCAATAAATGGTGTAGGACGGGCAATGTCACAACTTAAGTAGGTTCGTGACTTTGACCTTGACCTCCAATGACCTTAAAAGTCATTGTGTTCGTCTCTTCGTCCCATGGGGGTTCTTTGGACTAATTGCTCTGTCCAGATGCGGTGTCATGAATCCTCCGACACTCCGACACTCCGACACAGTCCGACAAGACATTTGAGACTTGATATAAATATAACTTGAGACTAATATAAATTTATAGTGGCATTGTCTCGATTGTTTAATGAACTAGTCTTTAGATCAATTTGCCTACAAAGCTATTTCAATCTTGAAAGACGTTGCAATGATATAGTCTTTTCTGCATCTGCTCCATAGAGTTACTCTGACCATATTTAATGAAACCGTGTTTCACACCTTATTCATTTAGGCTATTGTTAGTTTTAGCCCATTTATGGCCTGGTTTTCTTATAGACATTGCTCCTTTAAATTTTAATAAAAGTGGACAAATGACATATAATAACATAGAAAATCCAGAGAATCGGACAATAAATAAGCTCTGTAGCCTCCATACAACAATTGTCCACAGTGGCGTAGCCAGAGGAGGGGGCTGAAGTCAATACTGGATGATTTCACAGGCCGCATTCAGTGAGTGAGAATTCTATAATTTGGAATGGCGAGAGTCGGCAAAAGTTAAACGGTGGCATGGCTTGCAAGATTAAAAGGCAGACCTCTGGCGGGTTGTATCAGCAATAACTATATAGCTGCAGATTGACTGTTCGACCGTTCAGGGCCACACAAGGTCCATCCATCTCTGGCAGAGGGCAAGCAGAACACTATAATATGTATTATGAAATAAATATCACTACACCAATTACCAGTAATTTCATTTTACTAGTTTTGCCTTGACCAGATCACTGTGTGACCATATTACTGTGACCAAATTACCGTGTGACCTTATTACTGTGACCAAATTACCGTGTGACCGTATTACTGTGACCAAATTACCATGTGACCCTTTTACTGTGACCAAATTACCGTGTGACCTTTTTACTGTGACCAAATTACCGTGTGACTTTTTTACTGTGACCAAATTACCGTGTGACCGTATTACTGTGACCAAATTACCATGTGACCCTTTTACTGTGACCAAATTACCGTGTGACCTTTTTACTGTGACCAAATTACTGTGTGACCTTATTACTGTGACCAAATTACCATGTGACCTTATTACTGTGACCAAAGTTCCAGTGACCGAATTTCCTGTGACCTAATCACCGCGCCCCATTGAAAATGAGAAAAATCGAAAAAATATTTAGTATGAGTTATTGCCCTTGATCTTGAAAACCCGTTCAATTTGTAGCTCATAAAAACTCTAGAAGGCATGATTCTTGCCGAATTTTGACAAAACTTGGTTTTATTATTCATTACCGCGCTGAAGATTGAATATTTGTCTTCTAGAGTTTTCACGAGCTAAAGATTGAACACGTTTTCAAGAACTAGGGCAATAACTCATACTCGATATTATTCAATATCGCCCTAAAGAGTTCAAAAGAAGTGTATGACTGAAGGTTGAATATTTCATACTGGGGATTGTTACTGTACTGCTAAATATTTATGTTCAAAATCAAAGCTGCCAGTGGGCGTATATTACCTTGTCTGGCAAGCTATCTTAATGAATATGATTCAGCTCAGCTGTCCAGAATATATTATATTGACGTAGATTATAGTTAACTTAAAGGGACTGCCATTTTCGGGTGTTGATTTGGGTCTTGAAAAAAATATTTAAATAGTCCTCAGAAGTACTAAAAATGTACGGAAATCATATAATTGCTTCAATAATGCCTCATACTAGGAGTTTATTTTCTATTTCTAGTCTCAAGAATAGACGAGTGGTTCTTTTAACTTTTAAACGTGGATTATTATACATGAATTTGAAGTCTCAAATATCCACTGTGAGCTGTAAACACTATTGCCGATTACATAAAAAAAAAATCTAAACTAGGTGAATCTGTCCTATTTAATCTTTAACATAATAGGCTGGTTGAAATAATCGATTATTGTCTCTTGGAATTAATCTATCATCAAAATACATCATCGATTAAATGTTAATGTTATATTTTCTCCTGTGTACCCGCTAACAATTTCTTGCACATCTTACCCACTTTAAACTA